TCAAGTCATGGTTAGCTCTACTTTGAGGAGGCAGCTCTTCCTCAGTAATATATTTTTTTACCCAGTAGTATTTTGAGTGCCTTCCAATCTGAGGGGTTCATCTTCTGGCACTATATCTGGTCATGCTCTACTACTACTCATGTTTTCAGCTTCTGGTACTATGTCTGACAATGTTCTGCATTTATTCAAAGGGTTTTCTGTTTCTCAACATTCAGAAGTAGTCTGCCTTCCCTTCTTCCTAGTCTATCTTGGTCTGGAAGCTCTACCGAACCCTGTTCACAATGGGTAACCCTGCTGGTATTTAAAATACTGCTTGCACAGCTTCTAGTAACACAAAAGCCACCACAGTACAACAAACTGACAGACAAATGGTGGATGAAACAACATAGGTGAGTTTAAAATAGATTCTTACAAGCAAAATAGGTCAAACCATAAGATTGCAAAGTATGTTTGGTTTCATACGGTTGTCTGGAAAAGGCAAAACAGTAGAGAAGGAAAATGGTTCAGTGCTTTTCCAGAACATGGAGGAAGGGAGAGTTCTTGCAAAAGAGGCACTTTGTGGAAGTTTTAGGGTCCTGGAAGTCTTTTAAATGGTACTATGTGGAGTCCTGGTGTGGTCCTGTAGGCTAATGCGTCAGGCTGTAAAGTCATTTGAATTGCAAGGTCAGTGGTTCAAGCTCAACAGCTACTCCTTGGAAACCCTATACAGGGTCGCTTTGGGTCGGAATCGACTCAATGGCACTTAACAACAACAAACAACATGTGGTTCAAGCTCATCAGCTGCTCCTCAGAAACCTTATATGTGGTCACTCGACAGCACTTAACAACAACAACAACAAATTATGGTATAAAAATGACTCAATGCATCTGTTAAAACCCATAGAACTTTACATCACAAGGAGTAAACTTAATGAATCTGGGAACCTAAATGAAATCGGAGTACTTTTCAGATACTCCTGAGGGAGGGGCATGCATGTAGTTGTCCTGGCATAGCAAAGAAATCAGTGTGAACTAGTGGGGAAAATGAGTTGGAGTGATTAAGTATGGTGTTTCTCACCTAAAGTATCAGTGAATGAGTGGCATTAGACATTTGAAAATATTTACAGCTAGAACATGCATAACATTATTGCTATTCTTAGGACATTTCTTTTAAATGTGCAGAGTTGCTAGTCAGTCACCCATATATGGATCAATTAAAAACTGCTTTTATATTTCTCTTCTTGTATTCTGGATTTTTCTTTTTTTTAATTATAATTTGGGTATACTGTTTCTAACAAACAATTCAGTCAAGACATAAATATTAACTCATTTAGAATGTTAATGATACATAGATCTGGATAAAATATGCCAACAAAAATATTATACTCCTTCACTTAAAAATAAATACATATAACATTTTTATGCATCATGGTATCTTACTATAATTTTTCCAATAAAAAACCAAATAAATATATGCATATATTTTGATGCTAAAAGGATCAATTAAATTTTATAGCCTTAAGAATGAACTATATTCCATTACGATCTTTGGCAAATTCCCTAACTTGTAACTTACGAGGTGCATGCAGGTTCTTCTGTTCGTCTACCCTTGTTGCACATGCGGCTTGACTTTGGCAAGGGGTAGATAAAATGCATACAGAATAAGTGAATAAATCAGATGTGTTCATAAGGTTTTCAAAGTGCCGTTCTTGGAAGCATTTTCTGTGGTATACCCTCACAGCAAACCCACAGTTTACCGGAAAGTCTGCAGGTGTGCTAGGAATGCTTCACATTCATGTGAGAAAATTAATGACCAAACACGCCCTGTAGACAGTTTGATTTCTCTATAATGATGTCATGAGGAGCCATGCTGGGATCTCAGAGGCCAGGGAGTATGAACATGAAGGGAGTTCCAGATAAGGGTGAACACAGCTCCTCATCCCAATTACCTGGGGAAGAAACACTTCAACTGCCTGTAGGGCCAGGCAGCGCACAGGCAAAATGCACAAATGCATTTGTGTTACTTATTGTCATTTCTTCTTCTTTTTTAAAAAATATAAATTTCCTAAAGTGAATGTACCCATACAGTGTTTACTTCTGGGCATTTAGGGGAAAACAAGTATAAAACCATGTGGTGTGCTGTGGAGTCAGTTCTGACTCATAGTGACCCTGTATAGGGTTTCCGAGGCTGTAAATCTTTACAGGAGCAGAAAGCCTTATCTTTCTCTGCAGAACCACTGGTAGTTTCGAACTGCTCATCTTGAGGTTAGCAACCTGACCTGTAACCACTATGTTACCAGAGCTCTTTATAAAATCATGTTGTCGTTGTTGTTGTTAGGTGCCATCGAGTCGATACGGAACCATAGCGACCTCATGCACAGCAGAATGAAACACTGCCCGATCCTGGGCCAACCTCACTAGTGTTGCCACGCTTGAGTACGTGATGCTGCCACTTGGCCAATCCATCTCATTGGGGGTCTTCCTCTTTTTCTCTGACCCTCCACCTTACCAAACATGAATCATGTAGCTACCCTGACTACATATAAAACAGTTATGTTGCTGTTGTTAAGTGTCATCGAGTCTGTTCTGACCCATAGCGACCCTGATTAGGGTTTCTGAGCAGTGTCTGGTGAGTTTGAAATGCCGACCTTACAGATTTCCCGTGTCCCTCTCTAGCCTACCCCTTCTATCACCACAACTCCTCCCAACTTCCGGTCTGCTGACCTCTATATAGTCTTGCCCCCCTAAAATGTCGTATAGATGGAATGCTACAGGTTCAACCCTCTGAGTTGAACTTCCTTACCTTGTTGCTTTTGTTGTTAGTTGCTATTGCGTCACGTGAGATTCTTAGCGATCCTATGTACAACAAAATGAATGAAACAGTGTGTGGTGCTACTGAGTCATCCCCACAACTGTTGTTAGCTTTGAGTCCTCTGTTGCCGTCACTGTTTCAATCCATATTGTTTGAGGTTTTTTTTTTTAAGTTGACCCTCCACTTTACCCAGCATGATGTCCTTCTCCAGGGACTGGTATCCAGGATAACATGTCTGAAGTATGAGAGACTAAGTCTTACCTTCCTGGCTTCTAAGGAGCTTTTCTTGTTGCATGTCTTGCAACACAGATTTGTTTGTTCTGGCGATGCATGGTACTTTTAACATTCTCCTTCAACACCATAATTCAAATGCATCATTTTTTCTATGGTCTTCCTTAGAAAACTTTCACACATATTTGAGGCTACTGGAAAGACCATGGCTTGGCTCAGGCCTACCTTTCTCCTCAAAAGTGACGTATTTACTCTTGAACTCTTTTAAGAGGTCTTTTGCAGCAGGTATGTGAGACGAATTCACTGTTACTTTGGGTTGTGAAGATCTGTGTTGTCTTTACATTTGAGGTGCCATCATATGGAAGACTGCAGTCTTTGATCTTCATCATTAAATATTTCAAGTCTTCTATGCTTTGGACTCCTGGTGTGGCACTGTACATAAGCAGTGGACTGCAAAGTCAGTTTGAACCACAAATTATGCAGTTCAAACTCACAAGCTGTTCTTCTACAGGATTACTTTGAGAGGGAACCGATTTAATGTCACTTAACATCAACAAGGAGCTCTGGTAATGTAGTGGTTACGAATCGGGCTGCTAACCTCAAGGTCGGCAGTTTGAAACTACCAGTGGTTACACGGGAGAAAGATGAGGCAGTCTGCTCCCATAAAGATTTACAGCCTCAGAAA